GAAAAAAATGAGCTGCATTGTGAAATTTCTAAATCAGATATGATGTGCTTGTCTTTGCCAAAGGTTGATATTGTAGGTCTAGAACATGAAGTGGAGCACACTGTAGAGGCAGGAGACCACGAGGAAGCTACTAAGAAAGATTAATTTGCCACCAGCTTCATTACAATCCAAGAAGAACCACCAGACTACATGATGAATCCAAAAGCCGTTACAATGAGAGAAACAGAGCTCAACGACAGTTCTGATCAGGTAAGTAGTCATTTATCACCATACAAGAATCCGAATTCAGTGCTTTTAGGCTCATCAAATCCAGGAGAAGTCAAATTAATAGAAGTTCTAGTAGAATGCATATCATTTATAAAACCCGACATGAAAATTAGATCAGAACAAGTGTTCCAAAAAGAAACATGTCCCATTGCTCGTAAAAATATTTTGACTATGATAACACACTTGTTTCTTGTCCAAAAAGAAGAGGTACTTGCAGGAAATGATGACGAGCTACAAGAAATACAACCGCAAGAAATCAATGGAGATGCAAAGTGTGACATGGTGAATGACTTGCTGCCCAAAGAAGCCAGCATCAGACCTGACAAAGGCGTCATAGTTTGGTTTCTGATAAAAGAAGAACCACCAGATGCCCCACACAACCGAAATCCGAGCTGCAAGCAAACCATGCCCCAAGGTAATCTTCTAAACTCTCATCTATGCCAAGATACTAACTTGCTCTATCTTGGTGCAGGTCAAGAAGTTTCGAGGACAAAACTTTTCCAAGGGTGATATGATCATGACCAGCTCAGAGGAGGAGGAACCAGAGGTAGCTGGCAGGATCACTCGTTCCAGAGCTAGAGAGATGGCTAAGGAGGCTCACACACTCATGGCCGTAGAGGACATCGATCAACTGGAGGCTGGAGCTCACATCTTCAACATCTCTATCTTGAAGAATGAAGAACCCAGTAAAAATGACTAGGTAACTTAGGTGATGATTCTGTACTCTTTTCCTTGGTGAGGATTTTGGAAGGCAAGGAGGTTCTTCTCCAAGGTTTTTAACGAGGCATAAATCATTTCTACGTCGAGTTACTTAGAAGTTGTTACTAATGGGTAATAACGTGCAAAGTCACAATGACGTGTGCACTAGTTGTTTTAGGTGCACCACTTAGGATTTAGAAGGGACGCCTCGCTGTTTTATTTTGAAATCAAACTTCTAGTTGTTTTTATTTCAGACTTCATGTAGTTTTGTATTAGGGCTGCGATTTTCTCTCTTAGTCTATAAATTAGAGAAAATCGCCTAAGTGTTATTCAGTGAAGAATTTTGATCAAACTTTTAACGTGTTCTTCTCTCTTTGATTTCTGAGTATAAGAAAACTCTGAAATTCGAATCTCTTAAAAACTAATCTGTTTACAAGAGATTCTTCTATCTCGGGAGGGTATGATGTGGTCATCGACCCAGAAAACCATCACAAAGAGACCCCAATGACCTTAGACAAACCAGACGGCCCATCCAAAGCCGAGAGAAGCCTTATAGAAGCTGAACCGGAGAAAACAATGGAGCATAAAGGCGAGCCCAACAGAAGCAGAGATGAAAATTGGAGTTTCACCAACCAAATGCCATCAATGAAGGATATGATCGAGCCAAAACACTTTTGGGTCGACCCATAAATGAAGTTACCCAAGAATCAATTCAAACTCTTGGCCAAAGCATGTTCAAGCCACCCAAGAAGACCCATGCGCCTTATTCAGCACTGATGAAGTCCGAGATCAAGTGGTCCAGATCGACCAACACTTGTATTACTTTTCTATCTCACCCAGTGAACGCCTCGAAGTGGAATCAGTCCAATTGGAGCTCAGAAGAAGGAGTTATTCAGTTTACAAATCAGGTGATGTCCAACTTCCACGATTTGGACATACGTGCTGTAATTGAAGGTTTCCGATTGAACCAGAATGATTTAAGCTGTCAACCGACTTGTTCCCGATTCTGGACTCATCATAGAATCGGAGACAATTGGAATCAAACCAATACCGGTTATGGTTGGGAAGTTATTCACTTTACAAGTTGGAAGATCCGTTTCAGACCCAATTGCGCAGCTAGGTTGAAGATCGTACTCTACAGCCCAATTCATCGACGTTCTCAGCCCAAAATTACTTGGAGAATATTATTCGATCTTTCCTTGATCCAACAAGCTCAAGATCCGAAGAATTGCCCACTAGATCCTCAAGTTACACCCAATTTCCCAAAACGGGTTGACTTGGTTCCATTTATGGCAGGTCCGAGCTCTGACTGGTTTAGTTCGCTATCTACAAAGGTTTGGCACCCAGGAGAGACTCTAAGGCAACTAAGAAAGCTTAGAAACACCTTCCCATGCACCAGCAACCACAGGATCAGGCGGATCCTCTTGCAAACTTACTTTCCTTATGTGGCCGCATTCACACTTGGTGCCATAAATCACCAACGGCTCTTTTCCTTTGAATGCTACGACTTGGACGTGTTTTATGAAGATCAGAATGTTCCAACGAAGCTCACTTATCCCCTAAAACTGTCCAGATACAAAGGCGTCCTCACATTTTCATATTTGGCAGAGATTCTCTCATTTAGAGCCTAACGGCTAGTTTTTTTTATTAGCTTTGATTTGTTTCTTTGTCTTTAGCATTTTAGAACGTGTAAGAGCATTATATAAGCTCCTCATAGTCCATTTTAAAAACTCACCTTTCAATCAATTTTAATACAAAGTATTTGTTTTCTTTCAAAGTTGTTCTTAGCAAAGATTGTTCTTGTTCTTTAGATTTAAGTGTGAGATTCACTTAACTCTTTAGAGGCTGCGACTTAGTTTGTTTGTGAGATTCAAACAATCTATTTCGTTCACAGATTGAGAGAGTCAATCACCATCGATTGAGAGAGTCAATCAAAACGACCATCATTCATCTCTATCATCGCCCACTTCCGCAACAAAACTTGTTGTCTTTGACAACCTTGTGAACTATAAGATTTGGTGTGACTCCAATCTTATATCATAAGCTGAGGCAAGTTTCTTCTCGTGCTGAAAGTTCAAAAAGAGGAGGCCTCGAGGTAAAGTGTTTCGTGGCCTGACGTCGAGGTTTTGCACCATTTGGTTCGGCTTTGGCCTTGGGTTGAAAACATGTCGAGGGGTGAACTCGAAGTTTTGGCCATTTTGTTTGGGGATCAGGCCTCGGGTCAGTGTAGGCCGAGGCATGCAAGTCAGGGCTGAGTATGCAAATGTGCCTCTGGTGAGTGTAGGCCGAGGCATTGCTATCCAGGCCAAGATTTTTTTTTTATAAATGCTTTCTTTTTTTTATAGATCTGGAATTTTGCTTTGACTATTACGAAAGAAAAGAAAGAAAAAGCGGAATTTTAAAAGTCAAATAAAAAAGATAGATAATACTGGTTTCAAGGGTGTGGCTCTAATACTGTTTGATACGATCTTCCCAAGAAAATCACACTCTTGATCGGACTTTGGTTGATTGATCCTTGACTCCAATGGATCAGTGAAGAGAGATGATAAGGGGTGAGTGAGTACTCGAAGATCCTTAGGCCCAATCTCATGTGAATGGCTTGAAACAAGGGGGGTGACTAAGCTTGCTGACTGGATCCGCGGAAAAAAGATGTTAAGGCGTGAGAACAGAGTTCCCAAAAATCCTTAAGCCCCTTTGACTACTTAAATGTCCCAAAGAGACAACTGGGTGAAGGCTGCGTCGAGTGTTATGAGCGACACTTGATAAACCAAATTGATTAAATGGCTAACCGTCAAGTAATCAGAAAAGTTCACGAAGAACAAAAAAGAAGTTTCTCTGAAATTGTATAATAAAAGTGAATGAATGAGATCTGAGATCTCTACATTGTTTATATAGGGGAAGGAGTAGACAAAAGGTCATACTTGAAAATGACAAGAAATTAAATGAACTAAGACCAAAAATAAATGAAGTCTTTGACTAGAAATAAAGATAGTTGGATTGATATTTCGGCTGCCCTTTGACTGTCCTTTGAGCTTCCCAGCCAAAATTTCTCTTGCCATTCTTTATGAACTTGGGCCGAAAATGTGAGTGTAAACTCATTGCCTTATTAAAACCTATACTCGGAAAATCCATTGGGACAAAACCGAGTACAGGAAAAAGAGTGCAACAGATTTACACATTGCGGCCAACCTCAAGAAGAATCCACAAATGATAATGAGATCAGAGCTAAGTGTGTAATCTGCTCATCACCGATCCGGACTTGATCCTCCATGATCCGGATTCTATTTACCAAACTCTAGACAGCTCCAGCAAGCTTCCGGGACCTAGACTGCGTCATTGGACCTTCTAGAACAACTAAGGCTGATACAGGAACCTCCTCTTGTGCCTCTGGTTCCATGATCACATCAAATATTGCTTTTATTTGTCTGTTGGACGCTTCAACCTGCCCACTTATCTGAGGATGGTAAGGGCTTGCAACATTATGCTTGACTCCATATTTCCTTAGAAGTCTCTCAAAGGTTTTGTTGATGAAATGACTTCCACCATCACTAATAACACATTTTGGGACTCCAATCCTTTGAAAAACGATGCTCTTGAATAACTCAACCACCTTTTTGGGGTCATTGATGGGACTAACAACATCTTTCACCCATTTGGACACATAGTCAACAGCCACCAAAATGTCTTGGTTCCGATAAGATGAAGGAAATGATCTTATAAAGTCAATTTCCCAAACATCAAATACTTCCACCTCCAAGATTGGATTTTGTGGCATCTCATTCCTACTTGAGATGTTCTCACTCTTTTGGCATTCATTGCACATGGAGACAAGGTCTTGTGCATCTTTAAACATTGTTGGCCACTAAAACCCAGCCTCAAGAACCTTGACAACAGTTTTGAAAGCAGCATTATGTCTACTATATGCAGATCCATGGTATTGGTTTTCTAAACTATGTATTAAAGGGGGGAAATTAGTCATTTAAAAAAAAAGGAACAAAAGTTAAGAAAGGTTCTGGTTTTTTCTTTAAAGGTTTGAGCTTACTCAAACTAAAATTCGAAGAGCGGAGAGAGAGCAAAACGCCGTCGTGTAAGATGAGGAGACACCGATGCGTCATCGACACCGAGAGCAGCGAAAGCGGATCCGATTCCGATTCCGACACGGCGATGCGCTGTATCTCTTGTCGGGAAGAGTACGTTCCTCGAGATGCAGGCACCTGCAAGGAATGCTACGTCGAAGCCGGCGAGACTGAGGAAGAGCTTAAACGCGAGATAGACGACCTCAAGGCCAAAATTTCCTTCCTTCGGTTATCGTCTTCTCTCGATCACGGCAGCAACTCCAAGTCATTCACTGACGTTGTTCTCATCGCCTCCGACAACGCCGCCGCTTCACCTCCTATTCCTGCTCATAAAGCCGTTCTGGTTCGTTCTCTAATTCTTGTCTGATTTCCGCTATTAATTGGGTGAAAAAGGGTCTAGAATGTTTAATTTTGACTTCGATTGTTCCAATTGTGTCTGTGTTCGATAGTTCTTCATTCAATTGCAACAGCGAGTTTGTACATTCTGCAAATTAGGCAATTTAGATAAAGCCTAGGTTTTTGCAGGATAGGAATGTTGAAGAAAACTGGAACAGTTAGCTCATAATCACTCAAAAAAATTCGGAATTGATTGGCAAAAACCATCTTTATCTGTATGAATTTCAGATATTAATCCATTAAACTCTGATAATTATGATGGATTTTACGATGAAATAGAAGTTGCAATCATATGGTATCGTGTTCAGGGAGTTTGTAGACTGCTGATGTAGGAACTTTGTTTTGAAAAGAGCATTTTTTTCTTTCTCTTGTTTACTCATGCTTTCAGAGATGTTCTGTGTTCCATTGCTTCTATATTTTCTTGCCGGGTTCTTTTGCCTTTTGTTAGAATCCGATTTCCATCCTTCCATAAAAACATGCTTAAAAATCGGAATCCTGGCCTGCGTTCCTTTCTGTTTGATTATCTAATTATCTGTCACATTTATATGTATCATATATAATGAGAGCTGTGAAAGTTTTGCGAAACAACCTTTAGTGGAGTAAACTTCCTCCACTCTCTAATCTTTTTTTCCAAAAGCTAACAATGTGAATATTGCCTCTCAGGTGAGTCGTTCACCAGTCTTCAAAGCAATGCTTGAAAACGAGATGGAAGAGAGTCGCAGCGGCACAATCAAGATCACCGATGTATCTTATGACACTCTTCGAACTTTCGTCTATTATCTCTACACAGCTGAAGCATGTCTTGATGAGCAAATGGCATGTGATCTCTTGGTTATGTCAGAGAAATACCAAGTGAAACATCTCAAGAGTTACTGTGAGAAGTTTCTGGTAACCAAACTCAATCTGGACAACTCTCTCATGACATATGCCTTTGCCCACCAACACAACGCGAAACATGTGCTCGATGCTGCGTTGTCGCAGATTACAGAAAATATGGATAAAGTCACTAAAAGAGAGGAATACATAGAGCTCGTGGAAAAGGATCCCCGTCTTATTGTTGAAATCTATGAAGCCTATCTCTCAAAGCAGGTTAACACGGCAGCCGGGAGAACTAGCACGAGCAAAACTGGTTGAAGAAAGTCTATTATTGTACGGGTGACCTAAGCGAGTGGTAATTTCTGGTTTCCCTTATGTTGCAGGGTCGCAATGTGTAGGTGTTTTTTTTTTTTTATCTTCGAATCGTGGCCTAATGGAAAAACAGTGGTTATACTCGTCAACGGTGCTTGGTGGTTCATGCGTGATCTTGTCAATGTTCTTTGTGTAGCAGCCGGCCCAAAATGGTATTTCATAGTAGTCTGTGTAGCTGGTGACTGTTTCTCGTGTTCCACTATCTACAGTCTATTGACAACAGAACTCGAATCCTTTCTCTCTTTTTTTTTCTTTTTTTTAAGCGATATGTTCTTGGATACAGCATCTCAATCTCCTCTGGTTTGCTGTTTGATCCAGAACTATGTAAAGAGTATAACCGAAACTTCAAAATTTGGGCATCCCATTACTGAATTGTTGGCGCACAATGCCTCTCACATATAAGTAGAAATAGGTGTTTAATCCACGTCTAGCTTGGACAGAGAAGTTTTATTAAATAATTATATTAGTAAATTCCACAAAAATTCAACAATTAAATTATAAAAAGCTATTAAATATCCGAATTACATTTGTATCTAAAAAATATCTCAACTATTTTTGCCTATTATAAAAATCACCACTGTATTTTCACGTTACAATCTCTCGTTAACAGACTTATAAGAAACATTATCCACGGTTTAAAACAATACAATAGTTTAATAATAAAAATATTAATAAATAAAAAAAATTACATTAAATTTTCAAAAAAAATCAAAAAGTTCTCAAAAAATTCCAAAAAATAGAAAAATATTCCGAAAAATCCAAATTTAAGAAAAAATTAAATGCATTATATTATAACTTTTGAATATTTGAGCTACAAAAAGCCAAACATATTTTTGAAAAGCTAAAAAAAAATTAAATTTCTAAACACTCATCCTAATCCTAATCCTAATAAAAGTTGAAGCTAAATGTCTATAAGAATGTCCACATAGGATTAAAAGGGGCAATTTTATTGGTCCACATCAACATTGAAAACTAATAAAAAAAATTCAAAAATTAATATCATTGTTAAGAAACTATATATAAAAGAATAAGGAAATTATGTATTAAATTTCCATAAACAACAAAAAAACCTAAAATAATAATAAAATAAGAACATTTCTTAAACAAAATACAAATTTACTTAGATATAAAATAAAATGCAATCAATTAAGGAAAGAAAGTAAATTTTAAAATTGTTTTTCAGTTTTCAAATAAACTGATATAAAAAGAATGTAACTGAAGATGATGAAAAATTATTTTTTTTACCTATTACTAATAAAAGTTGAAGCTAAATGCCTCTAAGGGTGTCCACATCAGATTAAAAGGGGCAATTCTAATGGTGCACATCAACATTCAAAAGTAAGAAAAGTTTCCCAAAATTAATATCATTGTTAATAAAATATAGGGTGATTTGCATCAATATTAGGTTGGGAAGAGCAAATTAGGAGAATAGCGTCTAAATGCGGTCAATTAAGTAAATAACACAAGTCAACTTTAAAAAGTAGGTGGAAATTACCCCTAACCCTTGTTCCCTGCTTTTGGACACTGCTTTTTCTGACGAGCGTTTGGATCACATCAGCTTCCTATATTGAAACAATATCATCTTTTTCTTACAATAACACTCACAACTTTAATGCATCCCTTTTGTTCAAACGCTGTTGTCGTTTTGTGTTGTGGATAAGACTAGGTTATTTTGGGAGGGTCCCCTTCTTAGATCAAATAAATACCCACTCACCAAAAGCATAGACCGCCGCTAGTAAACAACGATTGTAGGGTTTGTCTACTTATCCGAGACAGAGAAGGTTTGTCTAGTTCTGAGTAGTTTTCATGGACTATTTTCAAATTCGGAATTCGGGCCTAGGATGTCTGTATTTTCGAGGGTGGGTTAAACAGTAACACAAGATAAGTAAAATAATCGATTATAAAATAGTATACTACAATAAAAGACATTGGATTACAGGTCTTACATAAATATATGATTATTAAAAGTCGATTACATACCTGTTCTTTAGCTACTTCATAATTGGGATCGGGGAGACCAACATTTACATCTGTTACCTGAACGATCAAAAGAATAAGAGACATAGTCGAATATATATATATATATATATATATAGCAATCAGATAAACAATTATTAATAGATGGTTACAAACCTGTCTTTTGTCTATCTCAAAATTCGGGTTTGGGATGTCTGCATTATCCTCGGTTGTCTGAACAGACACAATAAATAGAAAAGATAGTCGAGTACATATATCAACTACATAGACAACTATTAATAACTAAATACGAACCTGTATTTTACCAAGTTCAGAATTCGGGTCTCGGATATCTGCATTTTCGAGGGTGGGCTAAACAGTAACACAAGATAAGTGAAAATAATCGATTATAAAATAGACCGCTACTAATAGATGAATACGAACTTGATCTTTAGCGGGTTAGACATTCAGATCTGGGAGGTCTGAAATCTCCCCGGTTGCTTGAACATTAACACATCACCCATGAAATAAATTGATATATAGTAGATGTCTACTAGTAGATGGTTATGAACCTTGACCTTTCCAGACTCCGAATTCGGTTATGGGAGGTCTGCAATATACTCGGTAACATGTAAAGTAATCTGACATGAATAAAAATATAAGATTACAACATATTTTATTTCAATTATAAGAATACGAACTTGATCAAAGGAGAAACCGCTATGTTCTGAAGGAGGCTAGTGTGAACAGTAGAATAGGGGGGTATTTCTGACTTTCTGAGTAAGGGTATATCTGAATAGTAATTCCAAGTAGTCAGTTACACAAAATACCGACTACAATTGAAAATTAAATTGAAAAATAATCCATAGATAAATGGTTGGGTACAAATTCAAAAACGAATGTTCATAATAGTAGTTGACTGCAAAATATGTAAAAGGTTCATAATCATATATATTAAAAGCGGGTTCAGAATAAGCAATGGAAGCCTCTCATTGAGTTTCAGCATGGTTAACTACCCCTTATCCCTTAATGAGAATAATTACTTTTGAAAATATTAACCAAAATTTTTTAAACAAACTCGAGGAGATCAATAACGTAGGCCCATACCAATATCGTCGGCCCATATTTTACGTGATCTAAACCCTATTCTAAACACATATATTCTTAAACGTCTCATACGTTCATTCTTCCATATCGTTTTAGAAAAACCCTAGGTTAAACTTTCTCATATGCAATATTTTCTTTGTTTTGTTTGTGTTCTACGGCGTTTTGATTTGTGTTTATATATTGCTTGCTTTTTTCTTTGGATTTATTTTGATGTTGTTGTTGCTTTCTATTGTAGGCTGATCTTTTGAGGACGATACTGAATCTGTGAGCGCACGCTAATCTTTTGAGAAGGATATTGAAGTGCGATTTGATTCTTCCTCTTCAATCAGTTTATCTGTCTCGTGTAAGTTTTGTTAGCCGCATGTTTTATATTATTTTGTTTAGCTTTTTGATTTCAAAAATTTTTATTTAACCTAACCCTAGGTAGGAATCATACATGCGCCAAAATTTTTTGATTTTGTTTGAAATCTACTCCGATATGATTCTTACTTTTTCTATGTTTGCTTTTCGTTTTTTCTTTTGGTGTTGTTGGTTTCCTATTGTAGGTTGATCTGCTGGAGAGGATATTGAAGTTGTGTACACAACCACACATCCTTCCTTTTCATTCATCGTATCGGTTTCGTGTAAGTGTATTTATACGAACTTTTTATGTTGTTTCGTAACCCTTATTGATTTACAGTCGCTAGCTTTAAACTAAAACTATGTTCCTTTTGGTCTGTCCACTATTGTTTTTTTGTATTATAGGTCGGCCTGCTGATACAGATTCTGAACTCTTGTAAGTATCTTTACTTATCTCTTAAGCTAATCGTTTATATTATGATCTTTTTACTGTAATTTTAAAGTTCTTTCTTTATATGTACTTCTTTTACTGTTTCTTGTATTTCTTTGTTGGTTGACTCTTATAATATACTTTTTCTATGTAAACTTTTATTATGTGCTATATTGTTCTTGCTAATCTCGTGACTCCGTGCTTTTCAGGATACTCTTAGTCAGTGTTTCATCATATATTCATGCTGGAATATGTCTTCGACTGGTATTTATTATTTATCAGCACCTATCTTAAGTTTTCGTAATTTAATTAGTTAAAACATTTGATCGTTTATATTTGATATGTATATTATTAACATTGATTAGGGGTTCCATTCCTACCTGTGCACCTCGCTCCACCATCGCAATCGTTCTCAGATGATGAGGAAACGTCAAGTCTGGGCAAGAAGAGTAAACTGGAAGCTTGGGTGGAATGTAATCGTCTTCATCCTGAAGCAAGGGAGTTGACGTATCCTCAATTCCCTATGGAGTGGGTTTGGGATCGTGAACAATCAAAATGGAGACGCCGTTTATCCCAAACTTCGCAAGTCTTTCTCTTGCAGTGTTGTCCATTATCATCTGGTGAACTTTATTACCTGAGACTTTTGTTGAAGGTGAGAAGAGGAGCGTTTTGTTTTTCTGACGGTGTTCAATATTCAACATTCAAAGATGCTTGCTACGCTATAGGATTGGTATCCGAAGACGATGATGAGTTTATTGCTGGATTTTATGAAGTAAATGGTCCTCTTCGCATGCTTTGCGTGTGTTGTTTAGGATTCTTCTCAGGGCAAAGGCATTAGCGAATCCTGCGCATGTTTGGAACTGCATCAAACACTTGATCTTTCCCTCTGCCGATTCTTGAATATCCATTATATGTTCTATTTCTGATTATGTTTTAGATACATTTTTAATATATTCATCAGAACCTTCTATTCGGTGTTATGGATTGGTCAGTTGTTTATGTGTTTTGATTTGCCTTTCATGTTATTCGTCAAAACCTTATACTCGCTATTATGGATTTATAAATCAATTATATATCTCGATTTACTTCAAGATTTGTAATGATTGTTTTTAAATTTTCTTATGATTTTTTCCTCTGTTTTGGCTATATAATATGAATTAGATTATTACCATATTTTGGGTCTTTTATAGATGTGTTATTGTGTACTATCGTATCTTTTGAATGTAATGCGGATCACGTGCTTATCATGATCGTTCTATATATTCATGAATTGGTCTACATGTTCACACCATTATCCATACGAGTATTGTTCACAATTTTTTTTAAAGATAAAAACGAATTGTCTCATCCACATAGCAATAGGTCTGCAAAGATGCTTTGTGTGTTTACAATTTTAACATTTTTTTAAAGAAACAGACGATATGACATTATTTGATATATTTTTATTGATTGTATGTTCTACTTATACTACTATCTAACTGTTGCTTTGTAAATAATGTAATTGATATTTTTGATACAAGTTATATTCAAGATGATCCTTGTAAGTAATGGACTGTTCTCATTGTTTTTAGGTAATTAGATCATTTCAGAAATAATTAAACAAAATTTTTTTTTTTTTAAAAAAAGTGGACTACCACCTAAATAGGAATAAATTTAGGTGATCATATCGTGGAAGCTGAGAGCAGATATCGTGGAACTTCTAAAGAAGATGTTAGATGATCATAATCCTCATGTTAAAGCCTTAAGAACTGCACGCGAACGATTTGTTGGGAATCAAAATTCTAAAGGTTTTAAGTTGGTTCTTGCAAGTGGCCGAACTACTGATGGTCGAACGCATAACTTACCTACTGAGAACGATGTGGCGGCTTTGATACCTGGTGATTTTAATATGTTAACAGAAAAAGAGACATCGTTATTCAAAGCAAGTCTGGAGGTTTATACCGAATAAGTGAATTGCATCCGGCTCATTTACCTTTGCAGTATCCGTTATTATTTCCGTATGGTGAAGATGGTTTTAGATTAGGTATCGATATTGGCTATGTTGATACATCTGGAAGGAAACGCACAACCGTGACAATGCGCAAGTTTTTCGCATTTTGCATTCAAGACAGGCATAACCCCAATCATTATGATGTCTGGGAGATTGTATCAGCAGTTTCTGGTTGACGCATATATGATGGTAGAATCAAATAGCCTTCGTTATATATGGCATAATCAAAAGAAGCTACGGTGTGACAACTTTGATAAGATTGAACAATCTTGTGAACGTGACAATAATGATCTTTCTGGACAAGGAAAAAAGGTGCTTATACCTGCTTCATTCACGGGAAATAAGAGATTCATGAGGAAACATTATCTAGACGCGATGGCAACATGCAAGTACTACGGATACCCAGATTTTTTCATAACAATTACTTGCAATCCAAAATGGCCTGAGATAACGAGGTTTTTGGAAAAACATGATCTAAAGATCGAGGATCGACCAGATATTTGTTGCAGGATTTTAAAATGAAGCTCGATAATTTAGTGAATTATCTAACAAAAAACCACGTTATGGGACACGTTAACTCAGGTATGTCAAAAAGATTAAATATAAGTAAAGAGTCATAATATATAAATCGTGCCAAGTTATACTTAAAGTATAAGTACTAATTCAATTTATTAAATGTATTTTTAACTTTTTATAATCGTTTTACTTTTATTTCAGCGATGTATACCATTGAATTCCAAAAAGAGGACTGCCACATGCCCACATGGTTGTTTTCTTGAAACCCGAATCCAAACTACCAACAGGTGAGGACATAGATAGATTTATATCAGCGGAGATACCGGACAAGGACTTGGATCCAATTTTGTACGAAATTGTTGGAGACTTGATGATACATGGACCATGCGGTGATGACAATCCAAAAAATGTTTGTATGCATGAGAAAAGGTGTACAAAATTCTTTCCCAAGCCTACTGGATCAGTATCTAAAATTGATGATGCTGGCTTTCCCATCTATAGGCGTCGTATAGATCAAAGAACCATTCTCAAGAGGGGTGTTTTGTGTGATAACCGATATGTTGTCACATATAATCCAAATCTCTTAAAGCGTTTTCGGGCACATGTTAACGTTGAGTGGTGCAACCAAACCCGGTCTATAAAGTACCTATTCAAATATATAAACAAGGGTCCAGATTACATTGGAGCAGCAATCGAGGATGAAGACGGTAAACCCGTTATATCCCAAGATGAGGTTGAGCAACATTACAATTGCAATTAACTTTCAGAAACTAATTATTAAGATTGGATCACTTTAATAATTACTTAAGTATAATTTAAAAAAAAATGATTATTTATTTCTGTTTTATTTGCTCATTCTTAGATACATTTCACCATATGAATCTTCATGGAGGCTTCTAAAGATTTCTACACAGTACCGAACCACGGCAGTAGTGCAACTTTCGTTTCATTTGCCTGGTAAACAAATGTGTATATATCACGAAGGAGAGAGCGTTGACCAAGTCTTAAACAAGGCATCGGTAGGTCAGTCACAATTTCTAGCGTGGATGGAGGCAAACAACGAATATGCCTTGGCAAAGACGCTAACATATGCTGATTTCCCAACAAAATTCGTCTGGGTCTCAAAGCAGCGGAAATGGAGAATACGACAACAAGGTTTTGCCATAGGCAGGCTGGTGTATGTCTCACCTTCCGTTGAAGACACATATCATTTGAGGATTCTTCTCAATATAGTAAAGGGCCCTGAGAGTTTTGATGACTTAAAAATGGTTAATGGTGTTATATACTCTTCTTTTCGAGAAGCATGCTTTGCGCTTGGTTTGTTAGACGATGATAAAGAATACATCGAAGGAATTAAAGAGGCTAGTTTTTGGGGAACTGGAAAGTTTCTTCGTAAGCTTTTTGCTATAATGCTTCTTTCGAGTAGTGTAGCAGTTCCGATTAACGTCTGGAATGCTACTTGGCAAATATTAACTGAGGATTTCTCATATCATAAAAGGCGTGAAGAGAATGACCCAGGTAAGATGGATTTGAAATTGTAAACTATTTTACAAGAATCACATTATCTTAGTTGCTAACAGACTTATTTGTATATCTAGGTTTGGTGTTGACTGAAGCCCAATATAAGAATCTTGGTTTGTTAGATATAGAGAAGTATATGCGCAGAAACGGTCGTTCACTATCCAACTATAAAGGAGAGATGCCAGTCCCTGATGATATTGGAAAGTATAAGAAATCAAATCATCTAATCCGGGATGAGAAATCATACGATCGTGCAAAACTTGCAAACGATCATGTCAAGTTGTTTTCAACAATAACCAAAGAACAGAAGGATATCTACAATGAGATAATGGATGCAGTTACAAGAGGTATCAGTGGAATGTTTTTTGTTTATGGATATGATGGGACAGGTAAAACGTACCTATGGAGGCTTTTAGGTGCTGCTCTTCGTTCTCAAGGAAAAATAGTTCTCAATGTCGCATCAAGTGCCATTGCAGCATTGTTATTAGAGGGAGGAAGAACAGCGCATTCTCGGTTTGGAATACCCATGGTTATGAACGAGTATACATTCTGTAATGTGAGTTCTGGATCACACCAAGCAGAGTTGATTGAAGCAGCCGATCTTTTTATATGGGATGAGGCTCCGAAAATGAGCAAGCATTGTTTTGAGACACTAGATCAGACTATGCGTGATATACTAAAGTGTGATAAGGTATTTGGTGGAAAGGTCATTGTTTTGGGTGGTGACTTTCGACAAATACTCCCTGTTATTGTCGGAGGCAACAGCTCAGAGACTATATTGGCAACTGTGAATTCATCTCATATTTGGTCTGATTGCAAAGTTCTGCAGCTAAAGACAAATATGAGACTGCTTCGTGGCGATAATGATTTCAATAATCAAGAAATTGAAGAATTCGTCAAGTGGATCTTGGATATTGGTGATGGAAAACTAAATATTCATGATACCATAGAAGATGAATTAGAAATTCCAGCGGATTTGCTGATAAGCGGAGAAGGTGATCCTGTTAAGAGAATAGTCTCGAAGATTTATGGTTAATCTTACACAACCACCCGTGAACCAGTTTTTTTTCAGGAAAGGGCAATACTCAGTCCATGGAATCAGGATGTCGACGTTATCAATGAATTCATGTTATCAGAACTCAAAGGTCTTCATTATATGATTTCTCACAATTCCTTTTAATACGTATTTATATTATAAAATATATCAGTACTAACATAGTTTGAATTGTTTTGATTAGGTGAGGAACATGAATACCTTTGTGCCGATAGCATTGATACTTCAGACACAAGAAAAATAGACGAAGTCGTCTATACACAGGAGTACCTTAATAGTATAAAGGTATCAGGGCTGCCAAATCATTCTCTCAAGTTAAAGATAGGAGCTCCAATAATGTTGCTTAGAAATATTGATCCTAAGGGTGGTTTGTGTAATGGTACGAGGTTGCTTATTACCCGGTTAGCTAGGCATGTAATCGAGGCAAGCCATATCACCGGGAAGAAAATAGGAAAAACGGTTATTATACCTAGAATGTTTGTGTCACCACCAGAAGCGAGGTTTCCTTTTAGAATGCGCTGGAGGCAGTTTACTATTACCATAGCTTTTGCTATGACTGTAAACAAAAGTCAGGGTCAGACTCTACAAAAGGTGGGATTATATTTACCAAAGTCATTGTTCTCTCATGGTCAACTTTATGTCGCCGTGTCTAGAGTTACATCACGCCAAGGGTTGAAGATTCTTACTACAGATAAGAATGGCAAAGCACAAAAGAAGACAATGAATGTTGTTTACAAAGACGTGTTTGAAAACATTTATAGAAACTCGCGTTTGATTTGAATATGTTGTTTTGTTTGCTACTAAAAATATGTTTTAGATTACATTGGATATTAGTTATGAGATTTTGGTAGTCATTGGTATTTTTAAACTGTTTTATCTTTTGAATTTTCTTATATTAAACTGATTTATCTTTTGGATTTTCTTATATTATGAATTAGTGTTGACTATGATAAGGTTTTGAATAGCTCTGTTTGTTTGAACTCAAAAATTATTAAATGATCAGTTGTTATAATATGCTTTTTTAAGTATATAGATTTAACATTATAAAAATCAATTTATAAGCTTCCAATTATGGTTTGTGTATTACATTTTAAACTCAACAAACTTTCCAAATATGGTTTGAATATTATATTTTAAACTCAAAAAAAATTTCAAAATGTGGTTTGAATATTATATTTAAAACTCAAAAAACTTTGGAAGATCATTAGCCCGCGCAGGGCGCGGGCCAGCCACCTAGTTATAATGGAAAACACAAAAACTTTTTATGTTGTTTCGTAACCCTTATTGATTTACAGTCGCTAGCTTTAAACTAAAACTATGTTGCTTTTGGTCTGTTCACTATTGTTTTTTTGTATTTTAGGTCGGCCTGCTGATACAGATTCTGAACTCTTGTAAGTATCCTTACTTATCTCTTAAGCTAATCGTATATATTATGATCATTTTACTGTAATTTTAAAGTTATTTCTTTATATGTACTTCTTTTACTGTTTCTTGTATTTCTTTGTTGGTTGACTCTTATAATATACTTTTTCTATGTAAACTTTTTATTATGTGCTATATTGTTCTTGCTAATCTCGTGACTCCGTGCTTTTCAGGATACTCTTAGTCAGTGTTTCATCATATATTCGTGCTGGAATATGTCTTCGACCGGTATTTATTATTTATCAGCACCTATCTTAAGCTTTCGTAATTTAATTAGTTAAAACATTTGATCGTTTGTATTTGATATGTATATTATTAAGATTGATTAGGGGTTCCATTCCTACCTGTGCACCTCCCTCCACCATCGCAATCGTTCTCAGATGATGAGGAAATGTCTGTTCTGGGCAAGAAGAGTAAACTGGAAGCTTGGATGGAATGTAATCGTCTTCATCCTGAAGCAAGGGAGTTGACGTATCCTCAATTCCCTATGGAGTGGGTTTGGGATCGTGGACAATCAAAATGGAGACGCCGTTTATCCCAAACTTCGCAAGTCTTTCTCTTGCAGTGTTGTCCATTATCATCTGGTGAACTTTATTACGTGAGACTTTTGTTGAAGGTGAGAAGAGGAGCGTTTTGTTTTTCTGATCTTAGGACCGTCAACGGTGTTCAATATTCAACATTCAAAGATGCTTGCTACGCTATAGGATTGGTATCCGAAGACGATGATGAGTTTATTGCTGGATTTTATGAAGCGAGTAAATGGTCCTCCTCGCATGCTTTGCGTGTGTTGTTTAGGATTCTTCTCAGGACAAAGGCATTAGTGAATCTTGCGCATGTTTGGAACTGCATCAAACACTTGATCTTTCCCTCTACCGATTCTTGAATATCCATTATATGTTCTATTTCTGATTATGTTTTAGATACCTTTTTAATATATTCATCAAAACCTTCTATTCGGTGTTATGGATTTGTCAGTTGTTTATGTGTTTTGATTTGCCTTTCATGTTATTCGTCAAAACCTTATACTCGTTATTATGGATTTATAAATCAATTATATATCTCGATTTACTTCAAGATTTGTAATGATTGTTTTTAAATTTTCTTATGAATTTTCTCCTCTGTTTGGGCTATATAATATGAATTAGATTATTACCATATTTTGGGTCTTTATAGATGTGTTATTGTGTACTATCGTATCTTTTGAATGTAATGCGGATCACATGCTCATCATGTTCGTTCTATATATTCATGAATTGGTCTACATGTTCACACCATTATCCATACGAGTATTGTTCACAATTTTTTTTTTTAAAGATAAAAACGAATTGTCTCATCCACATAGCAATAGGTCTGCAAAGATGCTTTGTGTGTTTCAATTTTAACATTTTTTGAAAGAAACAGACGATATGACATTATTTGATTTATTTTTATTGATTGTATGTTCTACTTATTCTACTATCTAACTGTTGCTTTGTAAATAATGTAATTGATATTTTTAATACAAGTTATATTCAAGATGATCCTTGTAAGTAATGGACTGTTCTCATTGTTTTTAGGTAATTAGATCATTCCGGAAATCAATAAACAAAATTAAAAAAAAAAAGTGGACTTTCACCTAAGTAGGAATAAATTTATCCAGCCTAACCGAAACCCTAGCAGTGGAAACCCTATTATTAAAAAAATATATAAATACGTCCCCTATATTCATTCTTTTATATTGATCGAGGAAAAATAACTAGGTTAAACTTTCGAATATGCAATTCCTTCATTCTTTGCGCCGTTTTCATTCTCTATTATTTTTGTGTGTTTTTATGTTGTTGTTGTTTTTATATTGTAGTCTGTTCTTTTGAAGAGGGTACTATAGTTGTAAATGCATTCTTCCTTATATTCAGCTTATAGGTTTCGTGTAATTGTTTTTAAACGCATTCTATACGTTGTTTATTAACCCTTTTTGATTTACTGTCGTTTGGTTTAAACTAAATCCATGTTGAGTTAAGAAGATCATCATCGTGTCATTATCTTGCTTTGTATCATAATTCTTTGACTTTGGGGTTTCAATATTTTACTATATTTGTATTTCTTTGACTGTTAGTTGTCTCTTTTAGAATGCTTTCGTATTATGTACTTTAGTATTATATACTTTAGCTTTGTATATTTTAGTACTATATATATGTGATTTTGTTTCTCATATTGTTTGCATACATATTTTTCTAAATATTTTCAGGGCTCTCTTCTTCGGTGTTACGTTATATACACTTACTGGAATATGTCTCTAAGAGGTAATAATGATTTACCATTAACTAGCATAAGTTTATGTGTTTTTTGATTATTATCCAAAATATTGAAACATTTATGCTTAAACTCTATAAGTGTTGGATTCCTACCTGTTCACCTTCCATCTCCGCCGTGTGTATCATCGGAAGATGATGGAACGTCTAGCTCTGACAAAAAGAGCAAATTGGAAGCTTGGATGGAATTTAATCGTCTTCATCCTGAAGCACGAGAGTTGACGTATCCACAATTTCCTACGGAGTGGGCTTGAGATATTGAGCGAACATGTTGGAGACGACGTTTATCTCGAATTTCATGAGTGTTTCTGTTGCAGAGTTGTCCCTTAACATCTGGTGATCTTTACTATTTAAGACTTTTGTTGAAGGTGAGGAGAGGAGCATGTTGTTTTGAGGATCTAAGGACTGTGAACAATGTTCGATATTCAACATTTAAAGGTGCTTGCTATGCTATAGGAATTGTTTCCGAAAATGATGATCAGTTTATTGCTGATATTCATGCAGCGAGTGAGTGGACCTCTTTCCATGTTTTGAGTGATTTGTATAGGTTTCTTCTCAGTGCAAAGGCCTTTGTTAATCCTATGCATGTTTGGAACTGCACCAAGCACTTGATTTTTCCCTATGCCAATTCTTGAGTATCTATTATATGTTATATTGATAATTATGTTTTAGTTATCTTTTAGGATATTCATTCATCAAACTTTTTATTCGGTATTATGGTTTTATTAGTTATGTATGTTTCTAGATTTCTCTTCATAATTTGTAATGCTTCCTTTAGTTCAACTATCTATGCTATGGAATCGATTAAAAATGTTTTAAATAATTATAATATTTCCATATTTATTATGATATCTTTGTTTGTTATATTATTTTCGTTATTTCCTAAGTTTGCTAATACACGACGATTTCAGACTCAAAAAAAGGCAAAAATCAGATCTGTCTATCTCGAAATTACTGGCATTTTGTGCTCAAGGTATGCGATTTTTTCTTCTCGGATTGTAAAATTGTTGATTTGTTTGCCTGTGTTATAGAAAATTGCCTTTTATTTCTATTTTTATATTTAGATTTTATATGACTGTGACAACATTGTTTAGGGTTTCCTCCCGATTACGAGCTACTGAATATCTCTACTCTAATTTTTTTGTTGTTTTTGTTATTCGAGTGTATATACTGAAATCGATACCCACAATTGTAAAGAGATAAAAAAAATTCCGGCATTCTAAAACATGTAATCGTTATTCTGAGTTTGGTGTTAATTTCATAGTGATTATC